TTATTCCTAAGATAGGATCCAACCTTAAGAATAATAATCAGATTTTGATCAGTGCTTCGGAGTAAAACAATTTTTATACCCTCCACCTTGGAAAGGAGGGTATATTAACTTTGTCATTCCGTTTGTAACATCCTTAAATATTCGTCGTGGACCCCATAAAGTATATATATTCAGAATCAGCATAAAATTCTTAGTCGATTTAACGATGTCCGTCTGTCGGTCTGTTGAAATCACGATACAGCCCACATTATTTGACATAGAGCGCCAAAATTTAGCAGAGCAATTGCCATTGTGTCTAGGATGGTTGGTAATGAAAATGAGATATATCGGTCCACGTTTTGGTATAGTCCCCATATAACAGTACCTCCCGATATTCGGTATTTTGATGATTTATACTACATTTTTTCACGGATTTGTCTGAAAATTGGTATTTGTAGGTCATAACGGGTCCCTGTACGTGTGGCAAAATGTATAGGTCCACGTTTTGGTATAGCCCCCATATTAAGGTACCTCCCGATATTCGGTATTTTGATTATTTTTGCAACATTTTTTCACGAATTTGTCTAAAAATTGGAATTTGTTGGTGTTAATGGGTTCCAGCTCCAGTTGCGAAACATTGCATGTATGGGTCCATGAATTGGTATAGCCCCCATATAACGGTACCTCACGATATTCGGTATTTTGATGGTTTTTGCCACATTTTTTCAGTGATTTGTCTAAAAATTGGTATTTGTGGGTCATAATGGGTCCTAGTTCGTGTGGCGAAATGTTGTATGTATAGGTCCACGTTTTGGTATAGTCCCCATATAACGGTACCTCCCAATATTCGGTAATTTTATGATTTTTGACACATTTTTTCACGAAGTTGTAGATCATAATTGGTCCCAGTTCGTGCGGCGAGTCATTGTAATTATAGGTCCACGTTTTGGTATAGCCCCCATATAACGGTACCTCCCAATATTCTGCAATTTGATGATTTTTGGCACATTTTTTCACGTATTTGTCTGAAAAATGGTATTTGTAAGTCATAATGGGTTCTAGCTCCGTTGGCGAAACCTTGCATGTGTAGGTCCACGGTTTGGTTTAGCCCCCTTATAACGATACCTCCCGATATTCGGCATGGTTTTTGCAACAATTCTTCTAATGTTTCCTTTACCCTAAGGTGGAGGGTATTAAAAGTTTGGCCCGGCCGAACTTAATGTTCTTTTACTTGTTTTTTGTTAGATTGCGAAACCAGTGATTTTTTTACAACTACGAATCCTAGTGGCAGTTCATGTTAGTATTAAAACTTCATACATCGTATTAAATTTTCAGACTTTCAAGGAAAATGTTAATCTCTTACACCAAAATGTCTTCAAAATCATTAATTTTGAAATTTACCGAGGAGGATATTAGTAAAACCTTTGCAAAATGGACACACATTCAATTTTTCGTTTCAAAACTATTTCAATATCTTCATATGTAAAGCCTTGACACCAACTGTACCCTCATTATCCAATTTCAGAATTTCTCCTTTATCCCTTCACCTAATACAGGGTTGCCCATATTCGACGGACCCATGACTCTTTGGGCCCATTCCAATCGACGAGGGTTGCTCATTTTCGACGGACCCATGACTCTTTGGGCCCATTCCAATCGACGAGGCTTGTCCGCAGGCAACATTCTTTGTGTCAATTGAATTTTGTACAGGAACAAATGCAAATCAATGCGAATAATCCGTTGTAAAGTGGACCGAGCCATGCCCAAATGCTGAGAACGGCGTTTTTGGGATGTTCTTGGGGACCTCTCAACTCTGGCTCGTACGGCAGCGATATTCTCGGCCGATCGCCTTGGTCGACTTTTATATGGCCTCTTCGGATTAGAAAGAGCCTTACCAGTCGAAAATTTTTCGTATAAACGCTTAATGGTGTTCTTAGAAGGCGCACTTCTCACATTTTTAATGATTTAAAGGCACGTTGAGTTTTCACAATTGACTTCTTCTGTTGAATGTAAATTTCAACTATTTCGCGTGGCGTGTATTGGTTCATGGTAAAAATCTGCTTGGACTGACGCTTCAAACGCGGTATGTCATTAAGCGATGTGACATCTCTGTCAAAAGTTATTGCGTTGCCAGATGGGTCCGTCGAATATGGACAACCCTGTACCAACGTTTAGTAACATTTAGTGCGCATATCCAAAACAATCTACACCTCTCCATCCTAGGCACTAAATTCCAAATTTTGTACCATCTAGTACTTTTTGAACAATTATAGTACGCATTTTCAAACCCAGAAGCCAACAGAGACCTCAATATCAAATTTCGGAATTTCAGCTCTATCGCTCCACTCAATACAAAATTTAGTACCATTTAAAATTTTTCAAACAATTATAGAACACATTTCCAAACCACCTCCATACACATGACATCGACATTAAATTTCAGAATTTTAACTATATCCTTTCAACCAATACCAAATTTAGTACCATTTAGTAATTTTCTTACGAATAAAGGGCGCATTTCCAAAACCATCTCCATATGCCCAGGCTACACATGAACAGCGATGCTAATACTAAGTTTCAGATTACAAGCACTATCTGTTCTACCAATACTATATTGTGCCAAATATAGTACTATTTAGTACTTTTCGTGCCCTTGTAGTACACATTTCCAAAACCACCTCTTTATCACAAACCTATACCACCAACATGGATCCCAATACAAATTTTCAAAAATCCTACTTCTCCGTTTAACCTAAATCAAACTGTTTCAAATAGAGTACCATTTAGTACAGTTCGCACACTTAGTACACACTTCCAAAATCATCACCTTGATTCTCATACCAAATTTCAAGTTTTTGGCTCAACCCGTTCACATGATACCTAGTGATAGCAGTTAAGAAGAAGACCTTAAAGTTCGAATTTTCAAAATTCCTTTGGTACATCTATGCTACACTTCAGAATTCTAGCTCATTTCGTTTGTCCAATACAAAGTATTAATTTTTAGTATATTTTAGTATTTGTCGTACCCTTTTAGTCAGAGTTTCAAAAAACCCTAGGGAAAAATTTCAATATTCTGGCTTCAGACTTTCCGTTTGCCTTGATTCTCAGCCAGTCTCTATATAAAATTCTTCCTTAAAGTTTCGATTTAAATATAGCTCCTATATAAGTCCACCTCCGATTAAGCAGCATAAGCAGGAAAGGGTAAATGCACCATCAAAAAATTTGATAGATTTTAATCACAACTTTTTTCCGAATATTTTGGCTTTTTTCAAACCCACCAAAAGGGAGTTTTTTTTATAGAAGAAATAAGAAGTAAAAAAGTATCGATCGGTTTTCCGACAGATGTATACCCTCAGCCCTCTTGACCCCTCTATGGAGTGGGTTTTGAAAGAATGGGTCAATATTGTCCATTTCATATCGACCTAAATAAATATGATATAAACATTATTAAAAATATATAAGAAAATCGAATCGAAATCGAATTTACGGGAAATCATAAATTCCATATTCATCTCAGGATTCTGGTTGAGTGACATATATTTCAATATAGCAAGTTGTAAAGAATCGCTGAGTTGTTTCGCAATTTATGGCAGATAAAAGTATTGAAAATGTGTCCCTTTGTGGGTGCGGTACAAGAAGGGGTTCGTAGATATATAGCCTCTCCACAAAAGATCTTGTGTTAGCAAAAATGTTTGTATGTGTGAAATTTGAAGAGAGTTGGATGCTTATTTCGCTTTCTTTGAGCGTTAGGTGGAGCAGGTAGCAAAAGCAATGGTTCGATCTCTATCATCGTTATAACAGATCTAAAAGATGTACCATGTCTGGAATGGAATCGGATGTTGATTTCGCTTTTGATGCACTTCATGGATATTGAAAATTTCAAGCGTTTGTGGTGGAGGTACCAGAAGGAGTGGACCGATATATTCCGTCTTATTACCAGATCTTGGGTTCATAAAAATAGTAGGGTGTGGGAAATTTGAAGATAAACGGACTCTTACATCATATTTTTTAAGAGTTATAATTATTCAAAATGTTGACCCGTTGTGGGGGAAGTACTTGATAGAGTGGACCGATATTGTCCATTTCCGAACCAGACCTAGCACTAACACAAATATTAGGATTTGCAAAGTCGGAGCAAAATCGGGTTAACATTTCTTTTTCTGTGCAAAAAAAAAATATATTTTTGAAAATTTCGACCATTTGTGGGGGAGGTAACAGAAAAAGTGAACCAATATATTCCATCTTAACACCAGACCTTGGGTTAATATAAATATTGGGATTTGTGAAATTTGAAGACAATCGGACTCTTACTTCACATTTTATGAGAGCTGTAATTATTTAAAATTTTGACCATTTGTTGAGGAGATACTTGATGGAGTGGACCGATATTGTCCATTTGTCCAGCCAGACAGACAGACGGACGGACATCGCTAGATCGGGTCTAAAACTGTTATTTCGACTAGACACGTTTTCACCGTATCAAATTTTATATACCCTCTGTAGCCATATGGCTGAGGGTATAAAAAGACCGCTATAGGCTAAATCGCTTGTGCTTAAATGCTTGATCAATAAAATTATTGTATATTTGATTTTAAGAAAAGTTAATCAAAAATTAGAAAAATGGAGAAAAAATAGAGGGACTATTTATGTTGCTTTTCGACGTAAGTTTTTATAATCTAGAGGATTTTTCCCTGTAATTATTTTTTGCGTTACATAGCGTAATTGACAAAAAAGTTTTTTTTTGAGCTCTTTACAGAAGTCTCAGGCTATATTTACCTATACGAAAACAAATGGTTTTCTTTTAAAGAAGTCCCCGAAAATGTTATCTATAAAAATATCTGAAGTTTTCTGTGTTGGGCTAAAAGTCCTCTAAAGAAATGAAAATCTATTTTTAGGATATAATTATTTTATTAGAATATGTCATATATACCTTAATTGTGTATTCATATGTTTCTTTAATGATCCCCACTAAAATGCAATTTTTATTAAAACCACATTTTGTCTTTTTTTTTCAATTTCAGAACAGCAATTTACGAAAGTGATTTCGGACAAAATATAAAACAATTAATTCAAAACAAAACGTGACACAAGGAAATCAAGCTGTCAAAACCAGCCAGCCGCCAACCAAGCAACGAGCCACCACATCCGCACTGGAAACGTGAAAAATCCAAACTTGTCAAAACGGCAAAGGCAACGGCAACACCTGCGACTGAAGTGACACAAAAAAACGGTAGCAGCAACAAAACAATACTTCTCCCCCCAAAAAAAAAATCTATCAAAAACAATTGTTGTTCATTTTCACAAACTTGCCACTTTGTGTGTGAGGATATAAATGTTGTTAAAGCTGTCAGCGCCATCTAACGTCAGAAGCAAAACAATTACAACGACAACAATAACCACAGGCAACACACACACACACACACACAACGGATGCAATTGATTGACAAGAAAAAATATTTGCTCTCATTATTGCTGGAATAAACGAGAGAACGAACAGCAACATTAAACAGAGTGGAAAAAAAGAATAACAACAATAACAAGAAGAAGAAAACATATTTTTATACAACAAACAAAACATACATACATATATAAATAATCCATTCAACGGATTTAAAATCGGATTTTAAACTACAACAAAGAAACTCTTGTTTTCAATATTTTTCAATACAAAAACAAAAGAAGCACAACAAGCCTCAGAAGCTACCATTCTAGAGACTAGTATTGATTCATTATCGCCATCCGGCTTACAAAAAGTAAACGTATCTTTGCCAACATTTTACATTTCAAGTTGCTCCACCAGCAGCAGCAGCAGCAGCATCATCACCATCATCATCCACCAACAACAACTTCACCACAACTACACTTGTTGTTGTTGTTGTTCGTAACGTCGACAGTCGTTGCAAAATTCTACAAAATTTTCGCCCAACAACCAACGTCTTTTGGAATCAACGATTTGTCAACATCATGATTGGACGCTTATTCCGGGCCCATGGGGAATTTTGTGCCTCCCATCCGTGGGAGGTCATTGTGGCGCTGCTAACGGTAACCGCCTGTATGCTGACAGTTGATAAACAGCAATATTTCACCGGGGCATCCACAACGAGCCCAGGTGCCACAGATGGTGGTGGCGGCGGCGGCGGCGGTGGGGGTCTACCCACCTCATCGGCCACCTCGAGTCGTTATAGACCCTGCCACGGTTGGACACAGTCCTGTGATGGCCTAGAGGCTGAATATAATGCAGCCGATGTCATTGTCATGACAATTGTCCGTTGTGCCGCTGTCCTCTATTGTTACTATCAATTTTGCAGTCTCCACAAATTGGGTTCCAAATATATTCTGGGTAAGTAGGTCACACATATGTGATGCATAGCGCACACACACACAAACATGAACTATATATTGTATCCATTTCGACTAATAATTTTATTGCTGGCAAGATGAAGTGTCATGTTGTTATAATTTCTGGTCTTTTGAGGGTGAGCGAGGGAATAGTAGTGTGACACACAAGCTTCTGGCAGGCATGTCACATTGCGTCCTGATGCAATTTCTTTTGAGAAGACATACAATGTGTTTGGAAATAGAACTGTTATGAGAATCGTAGAAAAGGATGGAGAAGGGCTATGAAATGTCTATTTCTCATGGAAGACGTGTACCGATCAATAAATGTCATTACAAGAAATAGGGTTTTAAGTAAATTTTAACAATGAAAAGTAATTACAAAATAGCATCCTAAGCCCTCATGGCATCCTAAGCATGTCAAAGGTTGTACCACCAAGAGCCAATAAATAAGTCCAAAAAATAATCGCTAAATTTGTATACCCTCCACCATACATAGGAGGATAAATTATGTTTTTTATTCCTTTGCAAATTTCGATTTGATTATTTTAGGACCTATAAAGTATATATGTATATTCCTTATATATATTCCAGTCCGTTCGTCCGTTAGTTGTATTCACACTAGAGCCAAAAAAATTAAGATAAGAATTATTTTTTTTACACAGATCAGTATTTTCTCTGCTGGCAGGTCAAGTTCGAAAATGGACTATATAGGTCCACGATATCGTATAGTCCTCATATAACGGTATCACCCGATATTCGGTTTTTTGATGATTGTAGCCACATGTTTCAATGGAATTTTCCGGAATTCGATGTGTAAAGTTCCTCACTCGGACTAAGAATTATGTAGATAGGTTTACTATTACATATAGCGCCCATATAGCAGTGTTACAGATATTCGGTATTTTAGTTATTGTAGTCACATTTGTCTACACATGAAGTTCATTGTGGGTACTTTACCCCCTGGAAGAGAACTGTCTTTATAGGTCTACTATATCGTAAAGCCCCCATATTTTTCAATGAATTTGGCTGGAATCCGATGTTCGAAGTTCCGAATGGGTATTTTTGACTCAAACAAAAAATTGTGTTAATTATACCTAAGATCGCATATAGCCCCCATATGAAGATACCCCAAGATATTCGGTATTTTCATGACTCTGGTCAATATTTTATGAATCCGTTTTCCCCTAGCCCCTACATTTAAATTTTATTGAATGGAAGCAAAAAATGTCGGAAATAGCATCAAATTTTAGAATAAGTTTAGATTTGTTCGAATTCGTCACCTTTGGCAAGATTTATGGCCTTCAAACGGCCAATGAAACCGTCACACCCTGCCCGAATATTGCTCTGCGGTATTTTGGCACATTCCCGGCGAAGCGCATGCTTAAGGTGATCGACACTTTGGTATTTTTTAGTGGCAACCTTGCTTTTCAAAATACTCCAGACACAACGGATTGGTATCCGGAGATTTTGGTGGCCATTGTGCGCTGGAAATGAAGCGAGGAACCTCATTTTGTAACCATTCTTGGGTGGCGCATGCTGAGTCCTCTTGGAATGTCCAAGGTTTGCGGTCAAAATGTTTTATTCTGATACCACGGTCGACTAATACGAGCGGAGACCGATCATCGGCTGTTATGGCGGCCCACACCATCACCATGGCCAGCGCTTGAGTTCTGGTGGCCAACCGAAGATGCACATTTTCTGCTGATCTCTTTGGCAAGTAAACATGATCACTTTGTTTGCTTACAAACTGCTGGACAACGAATGTTTTCTCTTCGGAGAAAACCAAATTCGTCAGTTCACCCCTTTTCTTTCTGTTGCGGTGTAAGTTCTTGCACTTCTTGGAATTTCAATGGCTTTACCCCGAGCTAATTTTTTCAATATTTCCCGAATGGAATATTGCGAGATGTTCAGCTCATGAGCCATTTTTCGGCCACTGCGACGCGGTGTCGATCAAGTCGTTTTTTTACTTTTCGAACGATTTCTGCTGATGTTGTTGTTTTCTTCCGTCCACTTCCTCGACGTCGGCTTACGCTACCAGTATCACGGTAACGAGCGACACACAAAAGATTTATTCACATTTAAATGCTGGAGTGCTCTAACGATAGCCACTTGTGGTTTTCCAGCCAAATATAAAGAAATCTCACTATCACGCTTGAATTCCAGCACAAATAACTTTTTTTCTGGATAATTCTCACCAAAATGCTTTTGTACGCTTCTAAACAATAAAATGAGCTGCCACTGGAATAATTTTAACAGCTGTCGGACGAATGGCTTAGAAATGGCAGCAGTCTGAAGTTGGTTGCAGTTTTTTCATCTCGCTCTGCATATGCAAGATTAATGTTAGGTGTGAAAATGGACAAAATATGGTACCTTCTCCATAAGAGAATATTCAGAAAGCTAGTCAGAATAAATTAAATTAAACAGGCGGCGAGTATACATCTGCCGGCGAAACCAACTCATCATTTTTAAGTTGATCATATCTTCCTAAAAAATGTATGTGGGCCTAATATATCCCCGATACCTGTTAATCGCCCTATACTCACACAATTTAAATTTGAATTTAATATGGGTAACAATAGCATTCAATATTCATATTTTACATATCTACACATGCAAAAACTCTATAAAGGACACAAGTTGATATGTATATTCATTACAATACATTTCCCATGTTCCATTATTACTGTCCATCTTGTATCTGCTCCATTCGTTTCGTAACTAGACAGGGCCAGGCCATGCCATACTGGGTCAGTGCTTTTAATTGTTTTCCCCCAGTTCATTTGTATGAATGTCGTTCCCATTTCTACAATGCGTTTTGTAGAAGGAATGCATCAGAACTGAACGTCTAACATGTGTGTGAGTGTGTGTGTGTACGTTGTTATTGTGTTGCAGCACGTTTTTATTTTTCTTCTTTTCTATTTATTTGTTAAACTTGTCTAACATTATATCATACTTATTATTTTCTTTATACATTACTCTACGATATGTTTGTGGGGATATTAAATTTGTCGTTTTGTTTGAAAGGTCTCTTAAATTAAAAAAAAAAAAACAGTAAAGAAAATCCTAAAGTCGGGCGGGGCCGATTTTATGATACCCTACACCACTTTGCTAATTTAGTTGAGCTCCACTTAATAATTAAAAGTTTTTATGGGAGAATTCAATCATACACGCTATGATTATAATTATAATTTAAAATTCAAAGGACTAAATATGCCGAAGCATTTGTATCTTTTAAATTCGGACTTGTATTGCCCATTTGGTGCGAAATTAATTTGAAATCGGAAAAAAATATATATGGGAACTATATCCAAATCTGAACCGATCTCGATAAAATTTGGCAAAGATATTTCTGAGCTGTATTTGATATATTTCCCTGAATATCGTTGTTACGGAGTGCATATTACGGCTGTTGATAACAAATACAACAAATCGGATGAACAATATATATGGGAGCTATAGCTATATCTGAACCGATCTTCACCAAATTTGGCATTCTACCTTCTAGACTAAATTCGGTCGTATGTGCCAAAATCCATCCCATTTGGACAAATATTAGACGTTTGGTGCACAATAAAAGGTAAATCGGACGAAGTTATATATGGGACCTATATCCAAATCTGAACCGATCTCGATAAAATTTAGCAAAGGTATTTCTGAGCTGTATTTGATATATTTCCCCAAATATTGTTGTTACAGAGTGCATATTATGGCTGCGGAGGACAAAAATAACAGATCGGATGAAACATATATATGGGAGCTATAGCTATATCTGAACCGATTTTGATCAAATTTGGCATACTTATTTTCAGGCATAAATTGGTTGTGCAAAATCCCATACTATTCGGGCTGATATTACACGTTTGGTGCACAATAAAAGGCAAATCGGACGAAGATATATATGGGAGCTATATCTAAATTTTGACCGATTATCTCCAATTTCAATAGGGTTCGTCCTTGGGCCAAAAAAATGTTGTTTGCAAAATTTCATCTCAATTGGATAATAAATGCGACCTGCATTTTGTTCACAAGAATACATGGACAGACGGACGGACGGACGGACGGACTGACATGCATAAATCAACTCAGAAAGTAGTTCTATGCAGATCATAAAAAGGAACTATGGGTCTATATCGTTTCCTTTTGCCTCTTACAAACAAATGCACAAAGACATAATACCCTGACCACCTTGTGGTGTAGGGTATAAAAACTGCGATAAGAATCAATATTTTTCAGTAATTACAGGAAGAACTCAGTAGATTATGAAAGTAGAGCAAAAATTAAATTCACGTGTATCGACGTTCTGAAAGGTTATATCGGAAAGTAACCAACGTAGATTGGGAAATTTTTCAATTTTTTTTTTTAATTTTCGGATAAAGATTTCTTTATATCTAACATTTGACACCCTCCACAAAAAAAAATAAAAATTAAGTATTAAATATTTTGACTCAAATAAAATAGAGAAACAAGTAAGCAAAGGCTACAGTAGAGCGGGGCCGACCGTTGAATACCCTACAACACTATAATAAACGATACAGTTTATATAGGCGAGATACTCGAAAGAATTCCACAAGATATTGTGACAAATAATAAAAGAAAACCATCAGGTTCCGTTCTCTAATTTTCGAATAATAGCAACTTAAACTAATTTGCTTATTTCCAATTTATTGGTAGATGTTGCACTTAAATGGTCTTCTTAGATCTGGAACCAATATTTCCCAAAGACCTATAAACTCTCAGAAGTGGCAAAAGATTAACATTTATTATTGGTTTTTGACTTAAACGCATCTATATGAGATACAGACATTTGACTATATTCTTCAACGAAATCAGCGTTAACAAAATAGTCAGAAGTGCGTCTTTCCTGTATTTGTGAATTCTCCAAAAAGTCACTGGAATGGACATTTTCGTATTTTGTCTACAAAAGTTGGCAAACTATTTCACACATTGAATATTTTTGGATGGCCATCCAAAACTGCTTGGCTTTTGCAATGTCCGGTAACC